TTTTGAACTCCTGACCTTGAGCAATCCGCCCGCCTCGGCCTCCCAAGAGCTAGGATTACAGGGGTGAGCCACAGCTCCCGGCCTTAATTTTTATTTTTTATTTTTTTTTTATTTTATTTTATTTTTTTTTGAGACAGAGTCTTGCTTTGTTGCCCGGGCTAGAGTGAGTGCCGTGGCGTCAGCCTAGCTCACAGCAACCTCAAACTCCTGGGCTAGAGTGATCCTTCTGCCTCAGCCTCCCAGGTAGCTGGGACTACAGGCATGCGCCACCATGCCCGGCTAATTTTTTATATATATATATCAGTTGGCCAATTAATTTCTTTCTATTTATAGTAGAGACGGGGTCTCGCTCAGGCTGGTTTTGAACTCCTGACCTTGAGCAATCCGCCCGCCTCGGCCTCCCAAGAGCTAGGATTACAGGCGTGAGCCACAGCGCCCGGCCCTTAATTTTTATTTTTAAAGATCTTTTTGCTCAGTAAGTTCTCAGCTAAAATTTAATCAGCACTTACCATGCTCTTGCTAAGACTTTTACAGTAAGTAGCAAAGTAGATAAGACCAAGGTTGGGATTTAATCTTAGCTCCAGCACACTTTCTGCCAGTAATGACTTTGGAAGGTCACTCTGGGTCTTTGGGCCTCAGTTTTCCCATGTGTAAAATGGAGATAATACTCCTTTCTATTTCACAAGGCTGCTGTAAGAATCAAAGTGTAATATATGCAAAATGCTTAGCTCAGCGCCTGGCACACAGTAGGTTCTCAGTAGCTATTACTAACTGGCTTATTTAATAATAACTACTTAATACTACCTGGCCAGACTCTGTGTACTTGTTTAGCTAGGTAAATTTAAAGAAAATATTTCAATGGCTCCTTTTTGGGTTTAAAAAAGGAGAAAGGAAAGAAGACTGGGTGTTCCTGTTGAAAATGAAAGGTGAGAAACCCACTTTGCAAATGAACGTGTCCTCTAATGACACTGCAATTAAGATTGAGTACTTTTACAATGGGGTTCTTTCACATACAAGGGCTCTGCAATCTCCGCAGTCATCCTGGGAGGTAGGCATTACTGTTATTATTATTATTCCAATTAGACAGGGGAGGTGCCTGAGCCCAAACTCCTTAGCATAGCAGAGTGGGGGTCACAAGGAGTGGGGAGGGAGTTGAGGAGCTGGGGGTCTAGTCCCAGGTCTGCCACCAACCAGCTGTGGCTCTCAGGCAAACCACCTCACCTTGCTGAGCCTCAGTTTTCAGGACTCTAAATGGGGCTTTTTTACTAGACATTTCTGTGAACCTACAGGTAAAATGTGCTTGCCCAAGGGACAGGCAGGGTTGTCTGCTGCTAAGGAGTCCAAGAGAGCCTTCATCTATGCACCTACCCAGAGCCAAGGCAGCTGGGAAAGTAGTGGTGCAGCATATAGTCATTATTAATAATAATATATGTTTTCTTTGACACACACTTTTATGGTGTTTTCCATGTGCTGGGCACTGTTTGCAATGCCTTACATGTATTAGCTCACATTAAGTCTCACAACAACCCTATGAAGTATGTACAATTATCTCCATTTGAAAGATGAAGAAACTGAGGCATAGAGAGGTAATGTTTGTTTTTTTTTTTTTTTGAGACAGAGTCTCACTTTGTTGCCCAGGCGAGTGCCGTCGCGTCAGCCTGGCTCACAGCAACCTCAATCTCCGGGGCTCAGCGATCCTACTGCCTCAGCCTCCCGAGTAGCTGGGACTACAGGCATGCGCCACCATGCCCGGCTAATTTTTTGTATATATATTTTTAGTTGGTCAATTAATTTATTTCTATTTTTGGTAGAGAAGGGGTCTTGCTCAGGCTGGTTTCGAACTCCTGACCTTGAGCAATCCGCCCGCCTCGGCCTCCCAAAGTGCTAGGATTACAGGCGTGAGCCACCACACGTGGCAAGAGGTAATGTTTTGTCCTTATAAAAATACCTACCATACATTAAGAACTATTATGCATTAGGCACTGTGCTAAGCAGTTTACATATGCTATTAAAAACCTATAGCTGCTCTAAAGAGCTGAAAAGATGATACAGTATAATTCAACACAAAGGTCATATTTAACCACAACACAGATGATAGATGATGTCAGTTCATCAATGTGTTGATTCCTTAGTATAAGCATGTCTAGGATGTGTGTATGTACATGTGGCTTTTCTTTTTCATGTTAATTTTTTTAGGAGTAAGTTTTTATTTAATAAAATCTCTAATTTATAGAAGAGTTGTAAGACTAGTACAATGAATTCATGAGTGTCTTTTAAACCAGATTTTCCATTTGGTTTATGTTTTGTTGCATTTGCTTTACAATCTCCCTTTCCCATATATATGTATATTATTTTTCTGAATTGTTTGAAGGTAAATTGGTGACATTGTGCCTCTTTACTGCAAAACACTTCAGTGTTCATTTCCTTAGAGCAAGGACACTGTGGCTCTCTTATCTATGTGTTTTTGCTTTTTTTTTGCCTTTAATCAGGGAATTTTTATCTCCTTAATGAACATTGATTACCATCTTGATTATAATGATTGTGATCTGCTACAATAAATTTTTAAGTAAACACTGCCAGCTATCTACCATATAGCAGGTGCTCAGTCATGGTCTGCCTACACAGCTGACTCACTCTGTATAAATCCCTTCCTTCTTAGTCCTTCCCCTGAAATGAGGCCCCCAATTCTCTTTGCCCCAAATCCTCATAGGTGGCTTAGATGAGAACTTTGAGAACTGGGAAAGTCTGCACCCTGGGGAGACATTAGGCCAGTTTTCTTCTACCTGTTCTCCAGGTACTCATGCTCTTTCCCAAATGATAGGGCTAACACCACCTGCTCACTCAGACCTTCTACTTTTTCTTCCTAGATTTAGGTGGCTTGTTGCCCCCAGGAAAGCCCACCACGTCCCAGAAAAACCAGCTTTTTGGCATCTGAACTACGCCACCCAGGCATTCCTGGGGGTGACACAGGTATCCCTTGCCTGGTGGCAGGTCCTAGCTTAGGATTCAGGACACAGAAGCCCAGCGGCCCTTCCCACAAACCTGCCTGTTCATATATATTGTCTTCATTCCCATAAGACAGGCCCCAGATGGTGAGGACAAGCCACAGGTCCTCTCAAGAGACCCCCTTTTTCCTGCACCAACAGACTGGAACCCAATTTTGGATGTTTGTGCCAGACCACCAAGGAGCTCCTGCTGTTCATTCACATGATGCTGTTCTGGGTGCCAGGCAGGGCACTGAGTCCATTCCACCTAGATAGCCTTAGCCTCTCCCCAAACTCTTAGGTAGACCAAGATCCAGTAAATTTAGGCACTTTTGCAGCTCCCAAAGAATTAGCTGTTAACTCATTTATTCACTTACCTGGTAAGAGATACAGGGAGAAAACTGCTGTTTAACTCAGAGAGCTGGAGCCCCGGAGGCAGGAAACCTGTGCTCATCCATTCATTCAACAAACTTGTATTGTGCTCCTTTTTGGTGCACCCCCCACCTTCCCCTATAGGTACTGGAGATACAACTTGGAACAAGACAGACAGACGTGGCTTTTGCCCTCTCATGTAATGGACTTTACAAAGTGTGTGTGTGTAGGAGGATGTAAGTGAGAAAACAAGAAATATGCAAAACAATTTCAGAAAAGAATGAAATAGGATAGGCCTGAGGGAAAGGGGGTCTGTTCAGGTGGGGCAGTCAGGAAAAGCCTCTCCAGAAGGCCTCCTTTTGGGAGAGAACAGAGTGGTGAGAAGCAGCCATGCAGAGATTCGGGCAAAGAATGTTTAGGAGGAGGGAATGGAGAGGACAAAGGCCCCACGACAGGGAAATGCTTGGTGTATTTGAGGAACAGCAAAGAGAGAAGGTTGAAGTGAAGAGAGAGAGGGAAGACGGAAGGAAATGCCTTGAAAGGTAGGTAGGGCTGTCTCATATGGGGCCTTGTAGGCTGTCATGACGATCATTCATTTGCTGTTTCATTCATTCAACACGTATTTATTGAGCATCTACTGTGCTCTTGTTCTCAAATGCCTGGAGACAGACCATAAGCAGGTAAACAAGCAAGTCTGTAAATACAAACACCAGGTAAGAGAGATACTAGGAAGTGCTGTTTTCTGGTGGTTCAAGGCCCATTTCAGGGCAGAGACAACTCAGACCTGCTAGCAGAGTGGGGCTTCTCTCTCAGCGGGTGGGTGCCTGCAGGGAGGCAGCCGGAGACCTGCGGGCCTTCTTTCCTCTCCCCTCCCTTCAAGATGGCTGACAAAGGCCGGGCTGGGTGGGAGGAAGGGAGGAAGGACGGGTCCCTGGGTCCACAGCAGGGTGACTGGCAGGGGCACGCAGCGCCCAGGTGGCATAGAGGCTGAAGTGGGGGTAGAGGGGCAGAGGGGAGACTGGGCTGCTGTGTGACTCCAGTGGGGCCTTCCCCTCTCTGAGCCCGCGCATCCAGACCTGTGCGTGTAGGTGTCTGCCCTAGGGATGCGGGGCGGGTGTTAATGGGCCCCAGAAGGAGTCTCAAGTTTGGGGGCATGTGTGGAGCCCCCCCTTGGGGCTCATTAGCCCCGTAGGAGACTTAACAGGCCGAAGGCACCGAGGCGGCGTCCGGGGAGGAGGGGCGGGAGGAGGCTCCCGGAGCGATTTCAAATTTCCCTCGTCCCCTCCTCCCGGTCCACCCGCACTCGGGCCGGGCTCTGAGTGGCTGCGGAGGGGGCGCCCGCGGGCGGGGGCGGGGCGAGGCCCGGGCCCGGGCTACAAGGGAGTGGGCGCCGCCCCCTCCCCACCCACTGCCGCTGCCCCGCCAGCCCCGCGCCGCAGCCTCGCAGCAGTCGTCCCGGCTTCGCGGCCGCAGCCCGCGTGGACGCTCCGAGCGCCCCAGACGGTCGGACCAGCCCCCCGGCTGGCAGGCGAGCGGGCGGCCGCGCCCGGCCGGCAGCGCGGGGGTTAAGTGGCCCAAGTAAACGTAGCTTGGCGATCGGCGCCGGAGATTCGCGAGCCCAGCGCCCTGCGCTGCCGCCGCCAGCCTCCCGCCAGCCCGTCCCGACCCGCGGCGCGACCGCGGAGCCGCGCCCGAGCCCGCCTCGCGGCAGGTGAGCGCCCCGCGGCCCCGGGAGGCTCGTCGGCCGGCGGCTCCGAGGACTGGTGGGGGAGGGGACCGCGGAGGGCTCCCGGGTCTGCCGGGGAGACCCTCTCCCGGGACCGCCTGGGGAGGGGGCGCGCACCGGGCTGGAGACCAGGCTGGGGTGGCGGGGCGCTGAGGAGGGGTCCCCGGCCCTGTGGGGATGGGAGGCGGGGAGTGGGTAGGAAGCGGGGGGCGTGTATCTGACGGGAATAGGGATATGAGTGAAAGGGACACTTCTGCTGCGCTCCGAGACCCCGAAGGGGAGAGAAGTGAGTCTCAGGGTTGCCAGACCTCCCCGGGGTCTGGAGTCAAGGGGAGGAGGCGTCCCTTCCTAGAGGAGTGGGACAGGGGTTTTGCTCATGGGGGGGTGTCCTCACCTGGCCTGGGCCACAGCGGAGAGGCTAGAGGGCGAGGGAGGCAGAGCAGGGAGTTCTGTTATGGATAGGTGAGCGTCTGTCCCTTATGTCTCGGACCTGGGGGCTCCAGGCGAGGGGCTCTCCCCACCCCGCCCCGAGTTTCGGAAAGAGTTAGTGGGTGCGGGTGCGGGCGAGCAAGCGGCCCGCGGTGTGCGCGCTGGTCGGGGGGTGAGCAAGAGGTCTGCTCCCGGGGTCCTCCGAGCTGAGCCGCCGAGGCCAGGCGCAGCGGGGCTGCCGGGACGCCCTGGGGAGCGGCGGCCTTCCTGAGCGCACCTGGCGGGGAAGGAGCCGGCTAGGGGCGGCGCCTCCGTGCCTGGGCCATGCTGCCTGCCCTGGGGGCTTACTTTCCATTCTTTGCCTTCAGGCATGAGCCTGTCCCCACTTTCCAAACTTGCAAACTGAGGCATTAAAAGCTCTAGCGCCATCTCCTTCCTGGAAGCCAGGTTTCCATGTTCGTGGTGGTTTGGAGGGCTGTTGTTAACCCCCACGTTACAGGGGAGACTTAGCGAGTTAGCGCTGCGCTTGGGCCCAGGCTTTCTGCTGGAGGGTCTCACCTGTGGCTGGAGTGGGGGCCCAGCCCTATGCCTGTGCCTCTAGCCTCACTCCTTTTTTCATTCTTTTTTTTTCCTTTCAAAAATTCAGCCGCACAGCCTTAACTCCTTTTATCCTCCCCAGGGCTGGGAGAGAAGTTAGCTAGGCTCCTGTGATCCCTTCTCCCCCCAAAGTTGAGAGGTGTTTGAATTAAAGCGAATTAATGACAGTATGAACTTTGAACTGCCTGCCTCCTCAATTTTGGATGTGGGTTTTGGTGGGCTGATAGTTGTTTTTGGAAGACAGTTCTTACTGGGGGGGCCCTCAGCACTCAGGATGCTGACTCGCCTCTTCCCTCCTCTCCAGGCCTGCTGTGGTTTCTTGTTCACCGGCCGCTGGAAACCCCAGATGCAGACCTGATATTTTTCCAGAGTTGAAATGATGGTACTTATTTTATAGGTTTGGTATACAGGAAACACTCAATACATGTTTGCCATTGTTAGCACATGGGCTAAGCGGGCTGCTTTCCTTAGGGAAGCATAGGTCTTCAGCATGTGTTTAAATCCCGTCTTAGCAAGTTCGTTGCCCTCCCTGTGCCTTAATGATTGCATCTGTGAAATAGGAACAATCCTACCAGTCCCAGATTGTGTAAGGATGAAACCAGTTTTATGTGTGATTTAACCTCTTCAGGCCTCTATCTTCCTCAGATGTTCAGGTGTAAGAGCCCCTACCTCACTGGGCTTGTGAAGTGAGCTAGAAGCTGGCAGAGGGTCAGCACATTATGAATGTTTTATTTATTAACAAATACCCCTCACTGTAGAATGGTCTTTTCTGAGAACTGGGGATATAGGGAGGCATCTCCTCTAGCCCCTCCTTTTCCTGCCTTCATGAAGGTACTCTTCCTTTTTCAGCTATGAAAGCTTTTCCAAATCATTGTCCAAGATTTGGGAGTTGTCAGGAAGGACTGCTTTTGTTCCCTTTTGAAAGGAACCATGGTTTTGTTTTATGAGTTGGGGCCATTTTTAACCCCCCAACCCCCAAGCTTGAGGCCCACTGTGAAGGTATAATTGCAGAGCTAAGTGTGATCCTTTACCTTTCCCCATTGAGGTGGAGAGGGCTGAGACAAAGGGGCCAAGGCTGGGGCCAGCCTCATCCTGTTCCTTAAAGCCATAGGCATAACCAACCCCTCACCCCTTGCAAAGGCCAGGGGGAGGGGAGCCGCAGGGGGCTAAGGGAGGAGCCAGGGAGGTGGGGCTGGGGAAGTTGCTTCCTTCCCTTCCTCCAGCCACATGGAGCTTCTGATCCAGAGCTGCCTGTCACCCCTCATTATTGCAGCCCCATGGACCTGCTTCCAATGGGGGTTTTGGCAAATTGTCCTGGGAAAACTTACTTTGGGATTCCTTTATCCTAGACACAGCTCCCATGCTGGCTGTCTCACCTCCAGGTTCAAATACCTTTGTCTGAGATAGTCCTTCCTAAATATGAAACTCTTATGAGTCCCATACTGTTGTATGTGTTCCTTCCCCCGCCTCTAGCCCTTGATAGCTATAGGACCTCAGCCAAGGTACATTTTTCTATTGTGTGGTTTTTTTTCTTTTTCTTAAGTCATGAATTCAGGGTTATTTCCAGTTTCATAGAGAACCAGGGCTGAAAAAGTACAGACTTATTTCACATGTAGACCTCTCTCTCATTATAAAGAGTCTGGGCAGATTTGTCTCCCTCGTGGGGGGTTGATGTTCTCACTGGCCCCCTTTTACAGATGGTGGAACTGAGGCTCTGGGAGATCCAGTCATTTCTGCATCCTGGTGGTGAGCATTTTTCAGAACACTTTATCTTTTCAGAACCCATCTGCCACCAGTGCCACACAGGGACTCATTCCAGCAGGGAAAAAGCCCAGTGCAGATGTTCACCTGGTTGGATTTGGAGCCTGGCAAATGCAGAGGGAGCCACACACAGGGCTGCTGTCATTACCTTTTGGCTCTTTCCTATCTGAAGTGGGTACAAATACACCCTTATCTAGCTCAGTTGTTAGGGTTAAATGGAATTCAGGGGCCTTTTAGCTTAGCAAACTTTAGTTTGCTCATTCACAAAATTAGTTAAGGCCCCTAAATCTTGTAAAAAGCTTATTATCTGTTGGGTGCTAGGCAGCTGAGGCCGTAGACCACAGGAGCCAGGGCTTTGGGGTAAAGTCTGGGTTTACATTCTTGCTGTCCAGTTACAGGCCCATGTCCTCAGCCTTATTTGCTTCACCAATAAATGATGCATTTTTGGATGCATCATTATTGGATATAAGTGATACATTGTTGGCCAATTCCAGGGGATATTGAAGGTTAAGTAGATTAAAGGCACACATTGAGGATTCCATAAATGGTGAGTGTTTTGATGGCAAACACTAAAATTAACAAGTGGTTATTATTTATTTCTTCCTGAGAGAAACACAACTGCAGTTAATAGCATTCCTGAGAATTTTTTGAGGGAATAAGGATGAGGAGGACCTGTTTTGTGTGGGGAACTGGAATGTTTCAAAAAAAAACATTGAACTGTGGGTTTGTTTTTTTTTTTTTTTTTTTGAGATAGTCATTCTTTTGCCTGGGCTAGAGTGCCATTGCGCAAGCCTAGCTCACAGCAACCTCAAACTCCTCCTGGGTTCAAGGGATCCTCCTGCCTCAGCCTCCAAGGTAGCTGGGACTACAGGTACTAGTTTTTTCTATTTTTAGTTGTTTAGCTAATTTCTTTCTATTTATAGTAGAGACGAGGTCTTGCTCTTGCTCAGGCTGGTCTCGATTTCTGAGCTGGAGCAATCCTCCCGCCTCTGCCTCCCAGAGTGCTAAGATTACAGGTACGAGCCACCGTGCCTGGCCTCAACTGTTTTTATGTGAATAAAAATCAAACTTAATCTTCAGAGGCCAGGAACGAACTGCATGTTGTTGCCTGCAATTTCACCATCCCAAGGTAATCATTGTTTTGCTATTTTAGGGCTTCTCAATTTCTTCTAGAAATGGAGAAAAATATAAATAGGACCAGGAGAGCACTTCCTAAAGGACATGACCTAAGGCATGTATAGTGTGGCTGCGAAAGTTGGTTCAACTGGTAAAGTTCACCTCAGAGGGCACTGCAGTCACCACTGGGACTGGCTTCCATGTGGACAGGACAGTTTCGGGAGCAATGGGAAGAGAAAGTTTGTAATTAACAACATTGGCTTCTGTTTCTTGTTCTTCACCAGTTAGCCATGGTCAAGTTGCCTAAGTCACTTCATTCACAGATTTTTTCCATTAATTCTGATAGTATGGGCATGTCCTCTGCTCTAGTTTAAATCCCCATGTCTGTCTGTCCATTCCCTCTCCCTTCCTCCCTCTCTCTTTCTCTCCTTTGTAATTTTGCCACTCAGGAATCAAATTTGAGTTTTGTATAAAACAATCTCTTATAACCTTTAAAAATCGAGGGAGAGTGGTAGCCATTGAAAAATCGTGAGCAGGAAATTAGAAATGCATTTCCCAGAAAATGAGAGTTGATAGGGGGGAGAGAGATAAATATAAGTTGCTGTGAAAAAGGTTCTTTTTTTTTTTTAAAAAAAACAGAGTGTCACCCAGGCGCGGTGGCTCACGCCTGTAATCCTAGCTCTCTGGGAGGCCGAGGCTGGTGGATCATTTGAGCTCAGGAGTTGGAAACCAGCCTGAGCAAGAGCGAGACCCCGTCTCTACTATAAATAGAAAGAAATTAATTGGCCAACTAATATATATAGAAAAAAATTAGCCAGGCATGGTGGCGCATGCCTGTAGTCCCAGCTACTCGGAGGCTAAGGCAGCAGGATCGCTTGAGCCCAGGAGTTTGAGGTTGCTGTGAGCTAGGCTGACGCCAGGGCACTCACTCTAACCTGGGCAACAAAGTGAGACTCTGTTTTTTGGTTTTTTTTTTTATTTTTTTTTTGAGACAGAGTCTCACTTTGTTGCCCAGGCTAGAGTGAGTGCCGTCGCGTCAGCCTGGCTCACACTCCTGGGCTCAGCAATCCTACTGCCTCAGCCTCCCAAGTAGCTGGGACTACAGGCATGCGCCACCATGCCCAGCTAATTTTTTGTATATATATATTTTTAGTTGGTCAATTAATTTCTTTCTATTTTTGGTAGAGATGGGGTCTCGCTCAGGCTGGTTTCGAACTCCTGACCTTGAGCAATCCGCCCGTCTCGGCCTCCCAAAGTGCTAGGATTACAGGCGTGAGCCACCGGCACCCGGCCTGGAAAAAGGTTCTTAACCAATAAATTTCCTTCTGGGGAGAGGTGAGAGGTTAATGCTGACCAGGTGTATGTCAGGGAGAGCAGAGGGAGGGTAGGCAGTGAGACATGGCTGGGAGCTCCTATCCTAAGTTTGAGGATATAAACTTGGATCATCACCTCACCTGGATTTTCTGCTTCTGTAAGTCTTAGTATAGATGTTGAGTCTCCTGGCCTGCTGGAGTGCTCTTTGACATTTTGTCCTTATATTCTACTCTGGGCAATAATCCTAAGCCTCCAACTCCTCTATGTGAAATTTTGTCTTTTATATTTTGAACAGTTGTTAGCTACCCTACAAATTCTATTTTTCATGGTGTCCTTGTTGTATGGATACATCTTTTATTTGCCTGATAATATTAATTCTTATAGTGTTTAGTGCTCCCTCCAATATATTTTATTTTATAGTTTTCATTTTTAATATGTAATTAACTATTACCTCCATATTTGAGAAGGACCAAAACTTATCTGTGGGACTTGACAACTGAACTTTCCTCTGGGACAGTGACTTGAATTTGTCTTTGGGGCTCCCAAAATCTGAAGGAAGTTTTCTGCTAATGAGTCTTATTCCCCAGAGCAGAGAAATCTTCCAGTGCCTTCCCTGGGAGGTACAGCCCTGGCTGTAGGGCAAGGGTACAGGGGAGGTCTCAGTCCCACATCCATACCACATGGCCAATCTGTAGTCTCTTGTGTTCTTGTCTAGAGCCTCAGCCTCCTAGTGGAGAAAGAGGAGTGGTTGTCTTCCAGAACAGGTTGAGGATGGGGACCGGGGAGAGGAGGCTCTAACAATTCCTTTTCCATCCTGCTGCAGCCCCACCTTCTGAGACTGTTTAAGAATCCAGCAGCAGTTGCTTGGGCTGGAGCTAGTGCCTGGACCCCTAGCCCCTGGAGAAAGGGGATGATGCCACCTTGGTGGGTGTTCCCAGCAGCCAGCACAGTGTTGGGCTCCTAGCATCCCAGCTCCATACTATGTGCAGTGACTTGTCGTAAGCAGCGACAGTGGGCATCGCTCCCCCATGAACATCCTGTCAGCATTGGAACCCAGAGGAGATGTTGAGGGTGAGTGGGAGGAGTGGGGAGTCTCAGCAGGGACTGAAGAGAAATAAGTAGAGTGTGAGTGAACTAGGCTGCACGCCTGAATAGGCAGATGCTACTGGCAGGGTTTTTCTGGATTATAGGGGAGGTAGTATGCAACAGGAGTTAGAAAATTCTATGCAAATGTGCATAGAGGTGTGGCCACAACCTTGTCCTCTTGAGCTGTAGGCAAAAGTGTTTTTTTTTTTTTTTGAGACCAGGGTCTGCCACTTTGCGTTGCCGCCAGGCAGAGTGAGTACCCTGGCGTCAGCCTGATGCGTCACAGCAACGCTCCAGACGACTCATGGTGCTTCAACAGCAATGCGCTGCGCGCCTCAGCCTCCCGCGAGGTAGCTGGGACGCAGACAGGCATGTGCCAACATGCCTGGTAATTTATCTCTATATAATATTAGTTGGCCAGATAATTTCTTTGTATTTATCGGTAGTACGCGGACGGGTCATCACATCCGTGCTCCAGGCCTGGTTTCGAACTCCTGACTCCCAGCAATCCACCCGCCTCCGCCTCCCAGAGTGCTAGGATTACAGGCGTGAGCCACAGCGCCTGGCTGGCAAAAGTGTTTTGAATGTAAGAGCAGTGCTGGTGGCCGGTGGAGTGAGGTGGCTCACGCCTGTAATCCTAGCACTCTGGGAGGCCGAGGCGGGCATATCGTTTGAGCTCAGGAGTTCGAAACCAGCCTGAGCAAGAGCGAGACCCCGTCTCTACTATAATAGGAAACAATTAATGGCCAACTATAATATAGAAAAATTAGCCGGCATGTGGCGCATGCCTGTAGTCCCAGCTACTTGGGAGGCTGAGGCAGAGGATTGCTTGAGCCCAGGAGTTTGACTTTGCTGTGAGCCAGGCTCGACGCCAGGGCACTCACGCTAGCCTGGGCAACAAAGTGAGACTCTGTCTCAAAAAAAAAAAAAAAAAAGGAGCAGTGCTGGTTTTGGGGTGAATGTAACCTGTTGTCTGAACTTGGTCTATCTTGGTTTTCCCTGACTACTCTCTCCTTACCCTGCTGACAGCTCCTTGAGGACAAGGGGCTGTCTGGTCTTTGCCTTCCATTGACTCCTAAGTGCCCCCAATGGTTCCTGAATTGTAGCAAGAACCATATCTGAATGGATAGGAGTGGCTCTGGAGGTGGGACAGGGGAGGCATAGAAGTGGCCCCTCTTCTGTCACAAAGATGGCTGTGGTGAAGGCTTATATGCCTGTTATATGCCAGGGCTGCTCTTTCCCCTTAGTCCTCTTGCTGACACTGGGAGGAAGGTAATCAGGTTAGGGAAGTCTTAGCCTAACAAAAAGTGGCACTTGAGGAACAGACTTGGGAATTAAATTCAGGCTTCCCCATGTCCTTGTCACAAATCTCATCTATGTCCTTATGGTATCCTAGGAAGTTTCATGTTGAGCTGTAAGCACAGGGCTGAGTTAGAGGAACTGCTCAAGTAGCAAGGAATCCAATCTGCATTGAATACTGTTGGAAATTTCTTTCTAAGTCCTCTGCCTCACAAGGTGTGTTGGGTTGAGATGCTCTAGTTGGTGCCTCTGACTGTACAGGTCTTCCTTCAGGCCTGCTTCACGGCTGTGTTGAGGTGGGAAGATTGGAACTAAACCTCCATATTTGAGAAGGAGCTGAACTTTTTTGTGGGGCA